TTCAAAGGCATGGCTCCTTTTTACTGTATTAGTTGTTTAAATGTTAAAAATTGACTTAAAAATTGTTTTTTATAAAAGAATGTTTGACTATAGTTACAATTATTTTTAATCTAGTGAAGCTCATAAAATTTTAACAATGTTCTTGTATACTTCGTTTTTGATGGTTTTTATATTATAATCTCACGTTTGTAAGTATATAATAAGCTTTTACAACTTATTTTTCAAAGCATTTTTGTCATTTCTTATAGATGTCTTGAGAAAGGAAATAAACATTTCCGAAAGCTTGACAACAACACAGAGTGTTCTTATTACATTAGCCCTTAGCACTGTTGACTGCAATCCTAAATACATCACTGGTTTTTTTTCTTAACTAGTCAGTCAAGACTACCCTTCCTGCTCTAATTCTATATATATATATATATTGAAATGAAACGGTTAATCTTGACGATTAAGTTAGAGACCAAAAAAAATATATATTGGGGATGACGACATCCCCAATATATATATTTTTTGGTATATACAGGGTTTGTCCGGAAAGTAATGTCAGTGAGTCGGTTAAAAATAATTTATTGAACTTTTCGTTACAAGTGATCAGAATTCTTCAAAATAGGCTCCTCCTGCGTTGATACATTGGCTCCAACGAATTTTCCAGCTATCGAATGCGTGACGGTAGTCCTCTTCCGGAATGCACTTTAAAGCCGTGGTGCAAGCTGCTTGAATCCCCTCTATTGTCTCGAAATGCTTGCCTTTCATAGGTGTTTTCAGGCGTGGAAACAAAAAGAAGTCGGGGGGAGCCATGTTCGGGCTGTACGGGGGCTGGGGAATCGTTGGCACCCCTGCTTTGGCCAGGTAGTTGGTGAAGAGAAAGGAGCTGTGAGCCGGCGCATTGTCATGGTGCAACTTCCAGTCGTTAGCGATGTCCAGCCGGACGCGTTGAACCCTGCGTTTCAGCCTTTTCAGCACTTCCACGTAAAATTTTGCATTTACAGTTGTACCACGTGGTACAAACTCATGATGAACGAGTCCTCGGATGTCGAAAAACACGATGAGCATCGTCTTGATTTTGGATTTGCTCATCCTGGCCTTCTTGGGGCGAGGGGATGTCGACGTGTGTCACTCCGATGATGGTCTTTTTGTTTCCGGGTCATACTCGAATATCCAAGATTCGTCACCTGTAATGACGTTGTTCAAAAACTCGGGATCACTTTCGCACATGTTTAAATTTTCTTGGCACGTTTCAAGGCGGTTCATCTTTTGGTCGTCGGTGAGCACTTTCGGGACCATCTTCGCGCAAACCTTCCGCATGTTCAAATTGTTCGTAACAATCTCATGAACAATAGTTTTTGGAATGTCTAATATCAGTGACATTAAACGGACACTCAATCGTCGGTCTGTGTTCAAAAGTTGTCTCACTCGCGTCACATTGTCGTCCGTGGTGCTCGTTGATGGCCGTCCGGCGCGGACCTCGTCATCGACTGTTTCCCGGCCTTCCAAAAAGGCCTTGTGCCACCGGAACACTTGCCTATCCGACAGGGCATCTTCTTTATAAGCTGCCTGGATCATTGGAATAGTTTCCGCCGCGGTTTTGCCAAGTTTAACGCAAAACTTGATCGCAATTCTTTGTTCTACCGAGCGCTGCATTTCGATTTGCACGGGGTCACAAAACAACTCTCACAGAAACGCCTGTCCTCACTCTCTGGAAGGTTGGAGAAGACTGAGCGACCCAGCGTCCGTTAGCTGACTTCTCCCACTAACATTCCCAACCAATCCGGGCGCGCTTCGACGTACAGTCGCGCCAAAAGAAAATCACTGACATTAGTTTCCGGACAAACCCTGTATATATACAGGGTGTTGCATCACGAGAGAGACATAGCTTAATGGGAGATAGAGGACATCTAGGGTAACTAGGATCGCCTATAGAAATAGCTCCTTGGCCATTATTTATTGAGATACATGGTGATTTATGATTTTTGGTCAAAACTGCTTTATGTCATAACTTTAGTAGGGAATGGAATAATGGGTTCATCTTTGGTAGGGTTAATGCACTCACGATACTTCATGTATGCATGTATAACAGCAAAAAAAATCCAGGTCCGGACAGCAAAAATTGTTAATTTTTTGTACAAGTCTAGAAAACAACACTCTGTATGTCTTTTTTTGAAATTCTGATACGATATTCGGAAAGAGTATAAAAAAGTGATCTTAAAGACGTGCTTATTTTTTTTGTTACACTTTCGTGGTTATTTAAATAAGCTATTGAATATACGAGACTACGGCTTCTAAAACTAAATTACGTAAAGGACACATGATAAAAATTGTTTTGCAACTAAAATTAGCGAAGGCTTAATTGAGGGTAGATGTTATAAATAAGCATGCATATTTTAAACCTCATTTTCTTTAAATAATATGTATTCCAGGTCCGGACTGCAAAATTTTTAATTTTTTTTGTAACTCTAGAAAACATCGCCTTGTATGTATTATTGATTTCGACCTTATAAACTTCTGCTTTCAAATGACCCCATAAAAAATAGTCGCAAGGATACAATCCGGAGATCTCGCTGGCCATTCGTATGGACCGCCAGGACCAATCTATCTGTTTGGATATTCATGATCCAAGTGCTAAAATGCGGTGGAACTCCATCATGTTGAAAGAGCATACCTCTAATATGGACATTTTCTAAGAGATTGGGTAGGATTGTTTGAAGAAAGTTTAAATAAACGTTACCACCTAATCTCTCTTCAAAGAAATATGGCCCTATTAAATGCCCATTAGTAGGGTATTTTAACCGTCTGTGAGTCTCCCCCCTCCACTTTCGCCCTTGAAATGACATATGTGGTGACGTATGAGGTGACCGTGAACGACATTGAAGGTCACATAAGTTGGTCACCTTTATATGACCTCTATACATAGTTATAATATATACTTCGTAGTTGGTAAATGACATTAAAGGGTGGGTTGAAGCAATCACCTTCGTTGACCTCTATATTCTTTACAATATTTGCAGGGTGCGTACAATGGGGTGACATGTGACGTGATGCATTCGAATTGTAGTGGAAGGGATTTTTCTATATAATAGAGTAGATCATAGGAAAGAATAACATTTTCGTTCAGTGCCTGCCTTGCAGTTAGCGTCTACAATAGTGTAAATTGTGTGTTGTTTTGTGATCAAATCTTTTAAAGTGAGAACTGTTATTGTATTTATTGCTAACTAGATATTTTAAGGAATATATTTTTAAATATAAAATGGCATTATCGGTTTGTGAATTAGATAAAATTAATGGTAATATTAACGGCGAGTTTCAAGATATTGTCCGAAGGTCAATTTCTTCGTTGGAAATTGATACACCTTATTTGATTAAAAATGTGTCTTTTGTCAATACACGTTTTGGGAAGGTCGTTTTGGCTGTGCTTTTTGATGAAAAGTGCAATTCAAACTTCAAGTGTTTTTTACCAAAAAGGGTTGTAGAACATGTGACAGAGGATATTTTGAATACAATGAATTCTTGTTGGGAACAGTATACGCTATCTTATATAGGTCAAAGTAAACCTACCTTTAAAGATGCCAAATGTAAAGCATTGATAAAATTTGTAATTATCAGTTAATTTTATTTTAAATTTTATTATTTTTTAAAAAAATATCTAGTAGTAATAAATATGTTTTATAGAGTATATTCTAGTCAGTATAATTATAAATATTTACACTATTTAGTTAGAATCATATAAGGTTGTGGTTGTTTTTTTTTGTGTTGTATTATAATTTCATAATAGGTAATGAATAATTTGCTATATTTGCTAAGACAGTATCTTATTTCTGATTTGCTCGATTATCTGTCATATGCCGTTGTTGTGAAATACAAGTTAACATCTCAAGAAAATAGTGATGACGAACAAGATAACGATGAAGATAATTAAATATAGTATGAAATTTTATGTAAAATATTATTTTAATATAGTTATGTAAATTAACATTAATAAATTGTATTTTATTAACATTTTTCTTAATAAAGGCATTCTGTATGAAAAAAAATGTATGTAATTATAAAAAGTTGCACTTATTTTTCAAAGTGTACTTACATTTTGTACCAAAAATGTATGTCTGTAAGTACTAATTTGTTATAAAAAGTTGTACTAACTACCGCACTTTTCCTTCGAAGTATTTTATGCCAAAAATGTATGTATGTATGTAAGTACTAAGTTATAGTTATAAAAAAGTTACTACCGCACTTTTTTTTTCATCAAAGTGTACTTACAATTTGTACCAAAAAATGTATGTAGGTATGCAAGTACTAATTTGTTATAAAAAGTTGTATCAACAACTACCGCACTTTTCCTTCGAAGTGTACTTACATTTCCTACCAAAAATACTATATATAAGTACTTTTAAATAGTTGCACACCACACTTGGGACTTGGGTCGCTCATAAACGGAACGACACGCATTGAAGTAGCTCTGTTGCATTGCACTGATGCAAGGGAGCCTCACCCCTTACCCTGGGCGAGGCAGTCGAGGCACCTTGTTAGTTACACTCGGTAGCCCCTATGGTAGGTGGAAACCCGCCGGCTGGGGTTACACCATTCAGTTGCATCTAGAGAGTTCATCAGATCTGCGGTTGAGATTCCAGTAGTAACACGTAAGTGGCGCCATCTTCACGGAGTCATTCAAATTATTCGAAATGAATATACATTTAAACTGACTATATACCTAAATAAATATTTGAAAATATCGAAAATAGATCTGCATAGGATAATTGGACCGAACATGATCCATTAGGTCAACGGTTTAGATGTACTATGGTTGTAACTAATGAATAATCTGCGATAACTTAATATTCAGATGATAGTTGTAAATTATATTCGGATAAATTAATATTTTGTATTTTCCATTAATTAGATATTGATAGGCGCATATGATATACGAGAACATATTTACGATTTCAAATAACATTAAGACTGTCGTTTTCGAGATCGTTTTATAGACAAGAAATCGCATTTTTAGTAACACAATGATAGAATAAGTAGGTCCATCCAGGAAGTGACGAAGCGTTATACTAAACTAAAGCAACTTCTATTAATTTTTCGCATTGAAACATCACGGAGAACATATAAACATCAAAAAATGTACATTTCCTGCTTTGTCCAGCAAATTTGTAGAGATGGGTAATCAATAATTCTTAGTAATGTATGTGTTAATAGTTTGTTAAAAGGATTCTGCGTGGTGTTTACGGTTTACGGCTGGTATATAGTATCGTAAGCGATTTACTGTATGTATGTATATAACATCCGTGCAAAATTCAGGATACGTAAGATACGAGGTAAAAATATGCCTTTTTTCTTCCTTGTAGTGTCAGTTGTCTTATACCCTAAAGAAAACTTATACCTAAAGTGGATTTTCAAATTTCGAAAACAAATCAATATCTGAGGTATACTTGAACTTAGAAAGGCCAAATTTGGTACACGGTGTAAGTGTACCAGGAGCATTAATCGACAGTAAGTAGAGTCCAATTGAAAGGGTTGATAAGGGACGTTACGCCATTAAAATATAACAGAATTTTTTAATCCGTTGGCGGACTTAAAAAATATTACTTTATTTTATGGTGAATTTAATTCTAAAACTTTTCTTACTCTTGTTAGTTTTCAAAAAACTTATTGCTTCAGTTTTATTGCAAACGGTACTTACAATGGATTTACTTCCTTATTCTGAAGTAGTAAACGCACTCGAGATGGCACTTGCCCAGCAATATTTTTAAGATGCCGGAACCCTTGGTTCAAAGAGGATGACATCCCCATCGATGGTTAGCTGTTTTCTCCCGCAATGATAATTACTATAACTGGAAGTGCAGTCAGCAATGTGCAAATTAGAATTTTTTTCAACGGCCCTACTATTCAGATATAATCTACTATATTGTGAAGTTTGTCGCTATACGTATATGAACACTCAATCCACATTAACTTAGAATTAATTGCTTACACATTTATACTTATTAATTTACTTGTGGGTACCTAGAATACACTGTACTGCGAGTGCACAAATAATCTCCACCACCGTCGTCGGCTCCTAGGTTTCAATTTTTATAAAGAACTTGAAACGGAATATCAATCTGTGGCCCCGTATCGCAAAGAAAAACACCACCTAGCCTGATATATATATATATTCGTTGCATATATGATATAATATACCTAATTAAGTTGTTCCTATTCCTAGCAGTACTGTTTGGATTTGGTTATGATTTTAATTTGTTACTTGATATAATATTACTTATTTGTTCCGACAATGGTATGTACAACCTCGATCGTGGTCGTGTGCAGACAAGGGACGGATGCACCTATTGCACCTACCTTTTTTTTTGTGGTTCAGGTGCACCTACCCCGATTTTGAACTATGTGCACTAAACTATGTTCAACAGGTACGCGGTTCGCTCTACACCTCCCTAGAGTAGACTACAATGGTAATATACATATGACCATTGAAAGTATACGAAACGCAGGGCAAGTATAGTTCTTCCGGTGTCAGTTGAATCTCATCAAAAAAAAGACGGCACATGTAAAAACAAAAAAGAAGTAGAACACAAATATCCAATGCAGGTGTCGGCGGTCGACGTCGTGTCTCACACTTCAAGATACTTACTGCTTTTATTTTATTT